TCCCAACATGTCTGTTTGATTATTATTGAAATAAATCAACAAACACCATAATATAAATTACATTATATCAACCGTTTTTATAATTTTACAGAGATTTTCCAATAACCCTTTACGAGGTTTTGTAATCAAAATGTTAATGATATTAATTTTATTTAACAATTTTACTCCTCGTTTAGCGGTAATTTTAGTAATATCTTACCGCGGTATCTAAAGATCTGTTATATTCCCAAGTCTTAGCAATAATGCTGGATATTTTGAATTCTTTAGCTGTTTTGAAGGTTTTTGAGAATACCGCTAGCAGTAACAAGCACACTTTTTACGAGCTTTTCGTTAGCACTCGGAAAGTTCAAATTAAGCTCTCGCCAATTTTATTTACGGCTGACTCGCAAATCATGCACTCAAACACTACTAACGCTAACTAAATAGAATACTGCTCGTTATAAATGTTCAGACAACCAACGAAATTTTTAGTCCAGTAGAATTAGCTTTTAAATCGGAAATAATTCCTACAAAAGATTTTATTGTTTTAATGGCTTCATTGGTTGCCCATTAAGACTCTCCTAAGTTTTCGACTTCGACGGAGTTGTGCTTAAGCGGTGGGGGCCCTCGAAAGGGGCATTTTTTCGGTTTTCCGGTTATACCGCGTAAAGGATCTTACCCTATCAAAAAGTGGTCTTCATGACGGTTGAAGGGCACTTAATCCTGCATTGAATAAGACCAAATTCATATGTTTTCGACAAACCGTTCTCGCGCTAAAGTTCGGCAAAGTAGAAAATATACGTATAATTAATGACCCTCTCCATGTCCAATGGTTTGTTACCCACAGGCTTCCAAGTCTTGAAAAGGGCCACCTCAACCAGTGTAACCCTATCAAGGCTTACGAGCTTGATGCGCCTATCCTTGTTCGTCCCAGCCGTTCCTTAACTGCGGTTGCTGCACCTCTTCCTGGCACTCACCTGAACCACTCTGGGTTACCTACTGTGGCTGCCCCTCTTCCTTGTATCCTCCTGCATGACTACGTTGCCTAGCCGTATGCCTGGTCTAAGATTCGACGCCAAAAATCAACAACAACAAGTTCATATTAAAACGCTGAACAGTTTTTGTTTGTTTGTTTGAACGCGCTAATCTTAAGAATTACTAGTTTGATTGAAATCATTATTTTTGTGTTGAATAGTTCATACATTGAGGAAGGCTATAGGATATATACAATCACTCTACGACTAATAGAGGCAAAGAAGTAAAGAAAAATGTTGCAAGCACAGGAAATAGTATTTAAACTATTTTCACTCGTACGAAGTTAATTTTGTGGCGTCGAACCTTGGACCAGGCATATGGCTAAGCAATGAAATCGTACAGGAAGGTACAAGGAAGAGGGACAGCCACATTAGGTAACACAGAGTCGTTCAGGAGAGTGCCAGGAAGAGGTGCAGCAACCGCAGTTAAGGAACGGCTGGGACGAACAAGGATAAGCGAATCAAACTCGTGAGCCTTGTTAGGGTTACACTGGTTAAGGCGACCCTTTACAAGGCTTGGAAGCATGTGGGTAACGAGCCATTGGACGTGGAGAGGGTCATTAATTATACGTATATTTTCTACTTTGCCGAACTTTAGCGCGAGAACGGTTAGTCCAAAACATATGAATTTGGTCTTATTCAATGCAGGATTAAGTGCCCTTTAACCGTCACGAAGACCACTTTTCGATAGGGTAAGTCCTTTACGCGGTATAACCGGAAAACCGAAAAAACGCCCCTTTCGGGGGCCCCCACCACTTAAGCACAACTCCGTCGAAGTCGAAAACTTAGGAGAGTCTTAATGGGTAACCAATGAAGCCATTAAAGCAAAAAAATCTTTTGTAGGAATTATTTCCGATTTAATCAATTTTTGTGTTTAATTCTACTGGCCTATTTGAAGAAAGTATAAAATAAATTACTTTCTTAATAATTCTACAAATACGTCTCAGTGGATGGAGCGTGAAGAATGTTGTCACTTTCAGACAATTTGGAATGAGTTGCTCAAATTGTAATTATTTTAGCGGGTTGAAATTTTTATTTGATTTAAATCGACATTGTCTTTCTTGGAAGATAATGAGTAGTTTCTTTTAGCTGTTCAATTATATTTAAACAGTTTCGATTGATTGGACACAGATAACTTGGAAATAATTCGTTGAGTTTCAAACAATGGTAGACTTAAGTGGAACTAATTTAAGGGTTAACAGAATTTGATCACTCTTTTTGTTACCGTGTCTAGGGAAATTCGGATTCAATGTCGTGGTAAACTAATCCTGCGTTTTCATGGTACAAATTAAAACTGACGCTGTTAGAATACTTCATCACGTTGCTTAGGGATTGTCGTGTGTCACATATGGTTTTTAATTTCCATCAATATTGCCCAATCATCTGCAAAAAGTTCATATGGTTTATAGATTTAAATTATAGCTTCTGCATGGTTTTAAGCGCTTACATCCTTCTTCATAAGCATTACATATTAATTGCCAATAAAATAATTATAAGACCTTAGTACATTTAATTACGTGATACTTCAGCTTCTGCCTCTTATCTTCAGAATCATTTTTATCACACCACCATATCTCGAAATAAAATTGTTTTTAATATGCAAAGCTAATTATAGATACCAATAAAATGAGAAAGCAGCGAAGAAATTTGTCCATTCATGAACATTTTGATTCGTATTAGCCGCGGATCAGGTTTAACCATAACTGGTTCTATCATTGGACGAAACCCACTTTTGAATGGGTTCTAATGTACAGTGCTGCGTATCGTAAGCACTACCCGAGTTGGTATGGGCGTTTGTAATGCTACGCCTTAGAATGCGCTTTTACACGTCATTATAGGTAGGGATGTTGTAAAATCAGAAGAAACTTGTTTGAATAATTGTTGTCCATTGTAAGGTAATGACGACAGTTAGCAATCGTCGTAACCTACCACAAAATGACAAATGGATTTAATTGAAGATGTGAAGTTCAAAATTGATCAAGGAAATCGTCATTAGCAGTCGACATTTGTTTGCAAGTATCTGTTATTAGCATGAGACCTATCTGAAATTGCATAGGTCGGTATTTTAGAGGCTTATAAACAAACTTTTTTCTGTCGGTACATGTATCGATTTTGTTTGAAATTGCATGGCTATTTAATGTCCATTTGACTAAAGCAACAATTCGCGTTAACAATTCTTCATAAGAATAATATCTTTGAAGGGCTCGGAGGGTCACTGCCATTAACTCGACCGCTGCAAGTAAAATGATTTTTGCATGCGTTTTCTGAGGAATATTCCTGGATTGAATGGTCCATTGTTTCTGAAAGCTAATAAGTAAACAACTTTAAGATGACCCGATTTGACAACGTGTTATTTTAGTAGAAGTTTAACTCCGTGAACGCTTCAAGTTGTTATTTATGAATACAAAGAGTAGATCCATAAGCATTGTTAAATTGAATTCCAGACGATCGTCTTTCGAGCAGACATCAGGACTAAATCTTTTTTTTTTTTTTTTATCCAAAACGAGGAAGCTCTTGGCCTGTATCTCACCTGATGGTAAGTGATGATCAGGCCGAAGGTGGAAGCGAGCTTCACCCGGAATCCTCAACCACGGAGGAACTGGCTATCTTACCTCTAACTGCCGGAACACAACAATGCTGTTAACATTGTTATTATGGCGACAGACTTAGGTAAGATGGTNTCTTTTTTTTTTTTTTTTTTCCAAAACGAGGAAGCTCTTGGCCTGTATCTCACCTGATGGTAAGTGATGATCAGGCCGAAGGTGGAAGCGAGCTTCCCCCGGAATCCTCAACCCCGGAGGAACTGGCTATCTTACCTCTAACTGCCGGAACACAACAATGCTGTTAACATTGTTATTATGGCGACAGACTTAGGTAAGATGGTGGTAGCTAGCCAGGCGGACTTAGAACAAGCCCTACCACCAACCAAACCGAACAGAAAAATCTGCCCCCACTGGGAATCGAACCCGAGACCTCTGCGTCTGAAGCAGGTGGTCTTACCACTAGACCACAGAGGCGGTTATAAAATCAACCGCCTCTGTGGTCTAGTGGTAAGACCACCTGCTTCAGACGCAGAGGTTATAAATCTACCACCTTTCGTGCATTGCTATTTGCTATGGTTCGTTCGTGAAAATTTGAAATAAAATTCCAGTGTAGAGCGTTTTTAAAAATAGGGATCTTCAAATGCCAGTTTTGTCGGCGTTTAAAGGTCGTAAATATATTTTTCCATCACATTTACCTATTTGTTAACAATAAAGGAAACACGTATAGTTTATTAATTTTACTAATCTAACCAATCGATCTGGCCATTTACTTATAATATAATAGCAAAGCAATGTAAACTAAATGATCGATTACTGGATAAAAGGGACAGAATCGTGAGGTTATTCGGATCAAGATTTACGAGATAATGAAAATATTTGGTAACAAATAACTGGCCGACATTTTGGGGTGTTGGGTGCTGCTTTTATCGATGACATCGTGACCAAAGATTTTTTTTCAGTCGACTGAGAAAGAGTTACGCCATTCATTATGTTTTTTGACGTTCGATTGTGGATATTAATCGTGCTGTTTGTAAATTGCTTGGTAGTTTTGTAAAGTATTATATAGTATAAATTGTTTGTAAAGTACTTGGTTGACCATGGTAATCAAAGTTTTCAATGTACCAATAAGATTTATTGAAAGTTTTTCTAATTGAATAACCGTTTAGTTGACATCTGCTAGCCATGTATTTCATATACACTCAAGAATAGGTTCAAATCTGTCATTGGTGCATTAAATATTAATTTGATTCAACCTGACTTCTATTTATCTCTCTGCTTGAGTTACAAGTTCATTTCAAAGTTGGAGCCACCAGCCTATGTTGGTAGAATTTCAATATTTAGATCAGAGACTAGAAGCTGTGTTGAGCTTAGACTGATACTAGCTTATAAGAACTTTTATTCACGCGTTTACGACTGCCACTTACGCCGGTTTACTTTGTTTCAGATATCCAATAACTAAAACTAGTGCAGTGAAAAGCATAACGACGTAAAGTGTATTATGTGCGGTGAGCGCGCGGCCGCCGCGGACCGAAGGTGACATTTGTGCCGTGACATACATGCGGGCGCGATGATCGTATGGCGCAAGAATACTAGCCGACGGAAACACGCCGCCTGGTAAGTGGGGTCCTCTTTTTCTTCTTCTTTTCGTGTCGACAAAAACCTACACAGAGTCAGCCCAAAACTCCACAAGAGTGGCGTTGTCAGTAGCACTCATCAAATCCTCCTGAGTGCAGTTGCTTGGGCACTCAGGGCATGACATCAGGTGCTTCATCGACTGGGAAACAAAACCGCACCTGCATTCCTGTTTAAGCCATCCAAGAATCCCCACCTGACCAGATTGTCCTTACTACGGCCTCGTGGGGTCCTGTGGTTACACTATTTAATGGTTAAGCTTGTCTCATTGATGATGGGCAAGCGAATGAGGCCCGGTTTCCATCAAAGCGGAAAGAAGATTCAGATTTGCTAAACGAAACTGAGTGGAGAGATGATGTGGAAATAACGAGATCTGATTGATTCATCAAACACGCTCTCCTCGCTGCTGTAGTGGAAGCTGGACCTAAATGTAGATATCTTGCTTCAGAAAGATCCCGGTGACGGTTTACACTGCCGGTGCAGTGATCTTTCTGGTTGGAGCTGGAAAACATTTGCTCTGACCAGCTACTCTCAAGTCTGCTACTATAGCTGCCCAAACAACAGGAGTATTTTACTCGTTAGATCAAGTTCTGTTTCTTTTGTTATTGCGAATGTCGATGAGCGTTGATGATCGTTTGCATTGAACTACATATAAACTCTACTTACTTGAAACAACGAAAAATGTGATTGCTGCAAGTGTGTGAAATCTCGCATTGACCCTGTATCGCGATGAGATAGAAGATAGTAACATGGATGAGAAGCATGTGAGCAAAATAGGACTATTATAATTGACGTAATAATATGAAGCTTTCTAGTAAAATAATGCAATGCATTACCGGGGCTTATCAATCAATTTCTGAACTAGCGTAGGCTGATGATAATAGTAAATTGCAAGTCATAAAGTAGCTGAAGCTTTTAAGTGTACTCTTATTCTTGCGAAGAGTTTATTCTAATATGCTGGCGACCATACACTTCCGAAATCATCTCTATTCCTGAGAAAAACCTGAATGAAGCTATTGTCCACGTCGATTTACAGTATACATTGATTCATGGTTTTACAATACAAATAATAACTGTTAATATTCTCACACTTGTCTGCATCTCGTTACCTTCGTTTTTAATTCATGCATAGTTGATGTCAGAAGTACATTAATTTTAATGAAAGTCGCCCGGGACGGCGCGTAGATATCATTTTCATTTGTAGGTTGATAGTTAATAATATAACTTAATTAAGGATATCGCCTACAGCAACGCGAGACATTTCTATCAACCGTATGATTGTAAAGCTAAAAACACATGAGAGGCAATAAAGTAATCTATTAAAAAGTTTTATTTTTAATTTACGATCTGAATAAATTGTCTGAATGTTCCTCAAACGAGTTTTAAATAAGTCATCGGTTTGATATAATTTAAATCTTTTACGTCCACAGGTAAACTATAATATTGATGCGTTCGATCGTATTTGGTATTCTTGTATGAAAGATGCCTTGATCCCATTTTGATTTATTTATTTTTGGCATGTATTTAAATGATCTTTTTAAATTAGCAAAAACGGCAAATAAAAAAATCTAAATGGTCATCTATTTTAATGATTGATCCTCTTTCTTTGAGACATAAAATAAATGAAATCGATCGATATTTAAACCTCTTTTGAACTACGCAAAAAAATTTTGAGATGTAAAAATTATATCTGATCGTTACTTGTTGGTCCTCAAAAATAAAAGAAATGAGCACCAAATATTCAATATTGTGATACTTTTTTAAATAATTCGATTTGTATAAATTATTTTTTGTCTATATCAAATAATCTTCAAAATAATTATGTTATGGTACTTATTTTTATTAATTTGTAGTCAAAGGATGGAAACTATTTAAAGGCACTTGATGTTCAAAGATTTATTTTTTATTAAAAAAGCACGTTCACACTGCGTTATCGGGTCGAATTGACCTTAGGTGCTGGATGCGTTGGTGCGGGTTGGATATATTCGGTCTTTTCAGTAGTACGAAAGATAAGACAGATGACTTTATTATGGTCACTGATCACGGTCGAGATCGGTATACCTACTAAGAGAAAATCAACCTTGCGATTTGAAAACAAAATAAAGAGGTAAAAATTATGATGTCGGGTTCAGGGATGTCAGAAGTAAAAAATTATTTTACATAGCGCCTCTAGTCCCAAACTAAGCAAAGCTAGTAATTTAAACAAACATGGCAATGTACCATTCTGCTTGCTTATTGGCCGCTAAGCCCTTGGCCAACTCAGTGACCAATGACGGAACAAATAATATTGTCCCTTTATTTTTTAACAAATCGGCAATTACCTGGATGCGGACAGCGCAGGACCAGTCGGTCTTTGTGGAAATCCTTGGGGGGGGGGGGGATGCTTTTGTCCCGCAATGGATCCATCCTTCCCATCCAAATAAACTAATTTTTAGCAAGTGAAGTTTTAGGAAAATATTTTGGCCACTTTCTTACTTCAGTCGAATAATATGTAACTAATTAGTCACTGAGTCTGACGGTTACTCCGCACCTTTTTTCACTCAAGAACCAAGCCCACTTTTATCATCAAATTACACGTTCCTCAAACCGTATTACAGTGTAGAGACGCAAAATATTATTTAATACAGTGTTCGGGTCTTGTTTATTAATAGAACATTTTTTACCGCACATTATGTTCTCGGCCTAACCGTGACGCCGCAGGGTGTCGTCATAGTTAGTACACGTTCCCAATGTATACAATTATATCTCGTACCCTACCCCGAGGAATATAAGTATAACATATTTCGTTGTCTCTAACTGATTTCTTAACGCGAATGTAATCCCTGCCCTGGGGATGGGATCTGCTAAGTTATTATTAAAGGGGAAATTGTATGATGGATCACGTTCATTTGAAGGCACTTTAGTATGGTTTGCTGGGTTAATCAATATCAATAGTTTGTTATAATAATCCTTGGCCTTTGGCCTAGGGCCCTAGGTCTTTGTCTAGCAGTGGACGACATTTGGCTGAAACTGAACGGAACCAACTTGCAAAAAGCATAAATAGTTATGATAACTACCTATAAAATCAAAATCAAAAAATCAAAAATCAAAAATATTTATTCAGTTTAGACCACAAGTGGCACTTATGAACGTCAATAGAAAATAATAAAAAAAAGAAAAGGTAGCCCTTATGGGGCATATTATGGATATATTATGGAGCACTAGTGTGGTGTAATTTACAAATCACACATAGGCAGGAGTTGAATATGAGTTTAGCATAGTTTACGCTTAATTTACTTTTATTATTGACATAGTACCTACATATTCAAACATTGACTTAGCTTTCTATTTCACTGAACAAACATAGATTTCTTGTGTAGTGTAAACAATCCTATAGCTGTTCAAACATGTTCTAATTACATAAGCTATTAAGACGACACTTAATCTAACTAATAAAAGAAAAAGAGGCACTCTCTTGGGAAAATATTGTTTTAACAATCGTGTGCAACAGATGCGAATGTTTTAACGACGAAGGCTGTAATTTAGGCTTAAAAGCATACAAAAGATCGTTACCAAGTGTTTCGCACGTATAAAACAAGCAATATTTCCAAAGCTACGGTGTTATTGTCAATTTCTTTAGACGGTTTAAAACAAAGCGGTAATACGGCATTGTATGTTTACTTTAACTAATTAAAGTTTTATAAGTCATTATAGTACAAAAGAACCATCTGGAATTGATTAAAAATAACGATAATATACGAGTACAATCCCTATGTTTATCTCTAAGTACATAACAGTTTTCTTGCAACATTTAGCGTTAGTTAAAACATTTAACTAGCCCGTTTGCAGCTACGTGTAACATATTTGTTTCTAATACGTTAACGAATAAGGTATTTACGACCTACGGTGAATGAAATATTCTATTATTTAAACTTCCGAATTCATTTCAACCATCATTAATATGATTTTCGCACGCATTGTTGCAATTGGATAGTGGACAAAGCGCTTTCATTGTTTATTTGATTAATGGACCCGACCTACATGGTTTCGTGAGTTAATAATGCAAGAGAGGGTTAAAAAAGGTGGCATTACTATACTACGAGATGACAATAAGTAGATTTTGTAATTTAATCCAACTCTCACGATTTTTAATTTGATTGGAGTTAGAAATGGTATATCGCTGACTGTATTCACCGTTGCATGATTGTTGTAATTGGTGAAAAAGGTTTTAATTAATTAAATAAAGTAAAAAAATGACGTTATTTTTTTGTTGTTTCCCAAGAATCAGTGTTATGTGAAAGTCTAGGAAAATTATAAATTCAAGTCTGGATAGGCATGCTAGTAACATTTAATTAATCACATCATGCTCGAAACGCCTGAGAAAACTTAAAACCTTTGTATCAAAATACCTACTGGCCTAGATGTAGAGCATCTTCCAAATTAATATTTCGTGATTTATTTCATTCGTAATTATTTCACGATTTTGTTCGCCTTTGATTTCCATGAGATTACTGCGCAACGAATTTAATCCACTTTTAATTAAACTTCCGAATGCATCCAGAAAATCTTGAATATTTTCGCACTTATTGTGTCTGGGTGGAGGCAGAGCCCTCGGCTATGTTGTTTTGATTGATGAAAACGACCCACATACCTCCGTGAGGTAATAATTCAAGAAAGGGTTAAAAATTACTCGTTACAGCCAAGAGGCGGGACCGTAAGGATTTAAGAGATTTTACTAATGATGGTACGTTTTTTTACACTGTGATTACTGATTACCCATTGGTGGAGATTTTATAGATCATGTTACATGTCGTCTGTTCTGGAATGCCTTAATTTGAATAGTATAATACCTATAATATCGTTATTACTTAGCTATTTGTTTCAATATTGCTCTATAGCTTTACGATTCATAAATTGAAATACACAAAATATATTTTATGCATGCCTTAGAGTTTAGAGTGAACACCTCTAAAATGTAAAAAAAGTATTAACCCGCTTTTATA